ACCCCAGACGAGGCGGGGAGCAGAGCTATTAGACTCCCTCTCCTCCTGCCAGCACTTGGTAGCTGGATTTCTTCAGTTCATTACTCATCCCTCCCCTCCTCAAGTTGATGGTCGTTTTGCAGGGAGCTTCACGAGGTGGAGTAGCTCCTAGAAACTGCATCACAGAAAAAGTGAGGTTGGGAGGACCTCTGGAGGTCTCCAGTCCAACCTCCTGCTCCGAGCAGGGCTGGCTGCAAAGCCAGAGCAGGTCACTTGGGACCTCGCCCTGTCCTTTTGAAAACCTCCAAGGACGGAGGTGCCACCACCTCTCCAGACCTTGTCCCAGGGCTGCACCACCCTCCTGGGGAAGAAGTTTTTTCCTTACATCCAACCAGTGTTTCCCACATCGCTACCCATAGCCTCCTGCCCTTCCCTGTGCCCCTCTGAGACGAGCCTGCCTCCATCTTCATCCCCCAAATCCCAAATGACTAATCACAACTGCTACTCACCGGCAGAGCCACAGGGACGTTGGCTGCCATTTTCCCATCACCTCTAAACACCGTGAAGCAAATCCCAAGCAGCAAGGAAAGCTGTGGGGGTGAACACAGCATGTACCCCCTCAGCTGCAACAGCCCTCAGCATCCGAGTTCAGCTTTTTGGGAGAAATCGAGTCCTGTTGATTTGAAAGCAAACATAGCAGCAATATTTAAAAGGCGTTTGCTGGAATTGCCCATTTGAGTTTCTAAATCTCAGTTCTTCTTGATAAATGCCATAGGACGGGGGGATGACTTTCAGGCTAAGTTTTGACCTGTGCTGATATGGGGTTCATGGTGATTCACGGCACTCCTAAAAATCACCTCCCTTTGCAACGGCTACTCCAAACCAAGAGCCTCAAAGCCACGAGGGAAAACGCAGCCTTGCCTTTGAGACCAGCATGAAAGGCAGGGACACGCTGCTTTTGCTAATGCTCCCAAAAATATTACTTCTGCTTGAGTACAGAGGGGTTGTTGGGAATTGAAAAGTAAAATGCTGTTTAATTCGTGAATGTAAATGGGTAAGAAAACCTCAAGCTGGTTTTTGGATCAGTGACCACGACTTGCTGGGAATCATGAGTGAGACAGGCAAAATTTAAATGTTGCTTCAAGATACCAGCTAACCCCCATGTCAGAATTCAGATCCGTGAAGTCAGTGCATGTCTCCTGCTACTGCTAAACAGCAGAATTAGTCCAGCCATCTCAAACAAGGCTTCCCCAGTTAACCTTTTTCTCTGCTTTATTATTTTGCAGTGTTGGGTTTGAGGATGATTGAATATCAAATCCCCTCCACAACCAGCACCTGGACCCAAATTTCATGCTTCAAGGGGCACTTTCACATTTGTGGCAGGCTTGCTGAGACTATTAAAGAGAATGGCATATTTTTGTTACCTGACGAATGAATTAAACAGGAATCTCTCAGCTCTGGATTGACCTTCTGACTTCCCAGCGCTGGTGGTCGATACTTGCACACGTGCATCTCCCAGCCCACCGTTTGCATTCCATGGCTTTGTCCACCAACACCTGGGAAACTGCAGGGCGGCTCTCGGGAGCTCACGGCTTCGCAGTCCATGGGGAGCCCTGGCTTCAAGCCCTTCCTTTGTTGGTGCTTACAGATGCGCTGCTGAGCGGTGCTTATCTGCCACGGCCAAGGAAACCTGAGGCTTGAGTGAAAGCCTCGGGCAGAGTGCTACGGCTGGGTTTGGATGAGCAGCCCTCTTTTCTTGCCCCATCAGAAGTCCTCCCAGCACTGGCTGCAGTCCCTGTTCAGGAAAATAAAACAATCAAGGGATTCTGCGGTCAAGATGCCAGCGAGCAGCTGTCTTGCCCGGGAAGTGCATCAACGGATCGGCACAAACCTCAGCCTGCCAGTTTGCCTTGGGATTTTTCCTTTCATTGCTGTCTTGCTGAGATCATTTTTCACTGTTCCTCCTTCTGAGCAGTCTCCGTTGTTACCCCAGCCTTAATCTTAAGCTGCCAAGTTCAAGGTGACCCTGAGCAGTGCTCTCTGGCAGTTTGTCAGCGGCTGTCACGTCCTTGCAAACCGCTGGGTCTCTGCTCCCAGCCCACGTGTCGGTATTTGCCATGCACGCTGCAGCGAGGCTCGGGATCCTTGTGGCGTTGGACACGCACGGCGCCTGCCCTCGGGCCAGAAGCAGGAGCCTGGTGACCTTTGCCGAATCCCGAGGTGGTGCTCGGATTTGAGCTGTGCTTGGTGGCCAGGCCCTTCCCCTGTCCCGGGATGGATTTGCAGCCTCAAGTTAACAGCACCTGATTTGTACTCGTGGGTTTGTGGCATCTGTGGTTTCCTGGGAAGACGTTGTCATGGCAAACTACCAGCTCCTCTGATTCCCCTTGCTAGGGAAGCAAAGGAACCTGCTATCTGCCAGACTGAGCAGACCTACACAGGTGAAACCCCCCCACACACACACCCTCCAAGCAGAGTCAAGCTGTCTGTGGTCAGAGCTGCTCACGAACAGGCATAAAACCAGGACTGGTCTAACACTGGGCCCTGAGCTATTCCTCCACCTCCTCAAGGTAACCTGGCTGGGGGTATCTGTAGCCCAAAGTACCCCAAATGCTGCACAGGGGCTCCCTCCCCACCTCGAGATGTTTGCTACTCCACGTAGCAGAAGGGCAAGCCAGCCCTGCACGCTTGCAACTTCGCTTTCTCTGAAGCTGCAGCACCCCTGGTCCGCAAGCAGCATTTCCAGTTTTCCTCAAGTCGGGAGAGTATCTCCGTGAGAGTCTGTCCTCGAGGGGAAGCTCCCGGCCACATCCAACATAGCTGTAGGGAAGGGAGCAAGGGGAATGTTTCTCAGCAAAGGCAGGATGAAAGAATGCAGGGCTGCAACTCAGAAATCAGGATACACATCCCCAACAGCTTCCCTGTGGAGAAGCTCCTGCAGCTCCTATTGCACTCTGGCAGTGCCCCCATTAGCACCCCCCACCCCCAGCGGGACAGGAGCTCTCCCCCAGGTCTGGCCGAAAGCTCCCCCTACCCCTTGTCACCCACCAAACCTTCCCAAGGCAGCAGATCCTGCAGACCGGGCGTGCACAATGAGCAGCACTGAAGAAGAGAGTCAACTTCAAGGACAGGCAATACCAGCAGTGCAGCCGGGGAGGACGTACAGCCAAAGCTCTCTCGGAGAGATTCGGCAAACGTCTCAAGAGCAGGATCCGGGCAGGCACCAGCCAGGCTCTGCCGTAGCTGCACCGGGCCCAAGAGGCCAGACCAGCATGTTCCAGTAAAGCTATGGAGGGGGGCCGGGATGGAGCCACAGTCTGAAGCTTTGCTCAGAGCTACATTAAAATGCATGAGCTGTGCTAGCCCTAATGATGAGCAGAGCTGTCAAACAAGGAGCTTGTCCCAGCTAATTATCTCTAACGAGGGCAGAGTGTCAGGGTCCCCGAGGAGCTGGGCAGCAGCTTCCCACTCAGCTCAGTTACAGAAGAGGGAGAAGATGAGCAAATGCCATTGTGCTGGCCTAGCTACAAAATCATTAATTAGGCAAATGTGACCTTCTGTGCCAGTTTGCTCTTGAGAACCTGGACTCGCCAGAGCCAAGACATACAGGCAGGCTGGAAACACCCCAGCTTTTGCCACCCAACCTGACCCCTGCAGCGCTGAGCCTCCTGTGCCCATGCAGAGAGAGCATAGCCCCAGTCTGGCAGCCCCTGACCAACCAGCCCTACTAGTCAGGGGCTGCACAGCTGTGCCACACTCACCTGGGGGGCTCAAATACCCCTTGCGAGGGCTCCAACCTGTTCCCTACCCCAAAAAGCAGCAGAGAAGTCTGGTCTTTGTGAAACGCCACCATTTAGATAGCATTCACCTCAACCACCTCCCTCATTCCCAGCCGCCCAGCACAGGCTCTGTGCCAAGCCAGCGACCACCTTTGCAGCACCTCGCCCCCAAATCTTTAAGACAGACATTAAGGCACTGGGAATTTCCGCTGCCCTGTGGTTCTACTCCATTCCAGTGCAGAGGGGACCAGTCACACGCTGCTCTACAAGCCCCGTTTCTCTCTCATCGTGGGTCCTGTGGCTCAGAAACTGAGACAGTATGCTTGCCTTTATGTGCTAGAGAGGGGGAGTGTGTCTCATCCCAAGACACCGTTAAGGTGAATCCACCTCTGTGAGCAAGCAGCAATCCAGAGTTACGGCTCACACAAAGTTCACCCTGCAAGCTTTGCGCTTGTCCCTCACCTCAGAGCTGAAGGGAAAGGGAGGAGAGCCTGGTTCTTCTCCAGTCAGAAACCCACTGCAGGACCACGAAGCTTACGACACCAGCGATACACAGGGCTGTTCACTAGCGTGCAATTATGGCAAGTGCTTTTCAGTCCCTTGCTGCCAGACAGGAGCAAAGGCTTGAACACCTACTTCAACTACATTTTTACAAAAGAAAAGATTAAAAGTCACCAGCTTCAAACAGAAACAGCGCTGGAACCCAAGGGGTTAGAGCTGTACGGCCAGAGACTGCGGCAGGGGAGCTCAGCCCCACCCGCTGGCAGGCACCGCTTGAGGCAGGGCGTTGGGGTCATGATTTCGGGGCACAATTGTCTCTCTTGCAGAAGGCTGGGGATTGATCTGAGTTACACCACCACTGTGTCTCGCAGGCCCTGCTATAATACAGTGAAGAGCAATGAATATCAGAGAAAAGTTTACTGATATTCCCAAAATACATATTTCATTTGATATCGAGATCAAGCTCTCAACAACAGCCAACTACTTGTACAGGCAGAGCCACCACATTCAGTCAGTCTTACAAGAACACTTTCAGAGGTCACAAGACAGAAATTCTTTCCTCAGCCCACAGGAATGGTTCCTCACTGAATTTAGGCTGTCATTAGACTCCAGTAACTGCAACATGCTCCCAGGCATGCTCTTTGTGTGGCCCCTTCCACGCAAGCCTGGTTCAGACAGAAGACTCACTGAACCCCTAGTTTGATCTGCAGCAGGGGTTTTGCTCCAAAGGTTTCTTTCCTTCTACTGCTTCTGCAGTGCCTGTTCTTTCAGTTGGTTGACAAGCTCTTCAGCATACACCTTAAAGAGTGGGACAGGGTCCTGAAACAAAGAAGAGGATAAATCACTTAAAAGGAATGAACCTGACCAGCAGCAAGGAGTGAAGTCTAATGGAGAGCCCAGGGAGTCAGTGCTGCAGGAGTGCTAACAGTTAAAACCAGAGGAAGATGCAACTGTTTTTTTTTCAGTGGCCGAACAAGGCAACCTGCTATGCTACTCCTCCAGACACAGCTGCTGCTCAGCTCTGTAACGTTGCCCCAAGGACGACAGGTACCTGTGTGGGACATTCATCAGCTTTCCCAGTTCTGCCCACAGATGAGATCATCAGTAGCTCGCAGGGATCCTTTTCCTTCTAAAAACACCTTCCTCCATCCTCACATTGCCCTCAATCAAAGGGGTACTGAAGCATGTTGGGTGAAGAGATCCCTCGAAGCTGGAGCCCCACAGGGTTCACAGCCCAGCACCACCTCATGCAGTCACAGTGCTCCTGACCTTTCTGTTCCTGCTGCAGCCGCAACAGGAGCCAACAGGTCTGGGAAAAACATCACCAAGAGACCCCACCACCCCAGGAAGCCCTTTTGCCCCAGCAGCTCTCTGGTGCACCCTCCTCTGCATATTGCTTCTAACAAGTGAGGTGCAGTGACAGAGTGCCACAAACTGACCGGGCCCTGGGCTTGTATCCACGTGTCCCAAAGCACAAGAAGTATAGCAGATGGCCACCACAGGTAAAGATGTTCACACAACTGGGCATGAGTTATGAGCCATCCCCTTAAATCTCTCTCCCTTGACCAGAGGATCTGCTTTACAATGCGATTTAACCCAGCTCCAGGTTTTGGGGACCCAAATTTAACCAGGTTCACGTGGTTGCTGAGGAGTTTTGGACTCTCTCCCCTGACCGGAGGATCTGCTTTACAATGCGTTAACCCAGCTCCAGGTTTTGGGGACCCAAATTTAACCAGGTTCACGTGGTTGCTGAGGAGTTTTGGAGCAGCACTTCCACCGCTCAGGAGTGCTCAGGCTGTTCAGATCAGCTGGATGTGCAGCCTGATGCAGCTAAGGCTCCTCGGTGCTAAGCACTGCCTCAGGAACTCACCTTTTTTTCTCGGAGCCTCTGTTTTTCTATTGCTTCTTCTAAACTCAAGCCAACCCATTCGGCTTCTTCTTCTGGGATCACAAATTCCTGTGATAAAAGATGGAGCAGGTGGTACAGTCTTTCCACGTGACTAAGATGCAAATCCTCCCTATGCTCAACTCACACAAACATGTGGTCCAGTAGGAATGTTACTACAGACAAATCTTAACTGTTCCCTCATTTCTGGCAATCAAAGTCCACCGCCCTTTGCGAGGCTCCTGCTTTCTCTGATCAGTCGTGTCTGCTGCTGTGCCTCTCTTTTGTGTAGTTCTGGGGCTGTTTCTCGGCACAACTCCAAGGACTGTGGATGCTGGTGGTGTTTCTACGCTGGGAACCATCACCAGCTGCACAAAATTCAATCACACACAGGCAGTCTAGGCTCCTCACTGCAGCGTTAGTACAAATTCTCACTGCTGTCCGCAGCACCAGCTCCTACCAGTGCTTACTGCAGACCCTCACTGACCTCGGATTCACAGCAAAAATAAAGGCTTTTGTCTTCCTAAACGATCAGCAGAGAAATTCGCAGCCCGCAGAGAGACAAGAAAAACCTGGCAAATGATGTTTAGATCTTCTCTGCCCATACCTTTAACGCTAAATGCAGGAGCATTAACACTGATTTGCACTGTGACAGGGTGATTAAGGCATTATCAGCCTGGACAACCAGCAAACATCACTGCAGACACCAGGGAGGAACTGCAGGTCAGACACCGACCTGGTACTTATTGTAGATCGCCTCTCTTCTGGCTGGATCATCGGGATGCAGTTTAGGATCCCGCCGTGCAAGTCGCAGCAGCATCGTTCGCTTCAAATCCATCCCAAGCTTCGAGCACATATCAGCTTTTGGAGTCTGAAGAAATAAAGTCTGATGTTAAATTGCACCAAGAGACCAGCTACTAAAGAACATGCAAGTCTATTGGTACGTAGACAACACTGGTAGTCTATCCACATGCTGTAGAGGCTCTCAGGACGTGCGTTATGAAAGGGGAAAGATCCTTTGGATTTGTTCTGGAGCTAATTTGATCACGGTTCTGATCTTTAATACCAAGGGCTCCAATCAAGCGGATATTAAAGACTGGAAGCTTTAGACCTGCACTAATACATTAACAGCAGCAGATGCCTGCAAGCTCCTGAGCAAGGGCAGCATGGGCACAGCGAGTCCCGCCAACCCTGCCGGCCACAGGGCCTTACCTTGAGGATGTAGAAGTCAAAGCCGTAAGCCTTGTCAATGAGGTCCAGCGTCCGCATGGTGACAGTGATGGTCAGCTTAGCATCGAGGATCTCACTGTAGAACTGCCGGTCGAAGAGCTGCGGCTTCCA